CCCCCAAAAAAATAAATAAAATAAATAAATAAATAAAATAACTAAAATATTAAAAATGGGCCGTAAAGCACTCACCCTCGAAGCGTGAGTTCCATTTGTTTGAAATCATTTTGTTTAAGATGCTTGATGTGTGAAACTATAATCCACAATTCTTAAACTTTGAAATACTATCGGGATCATTTCATAACAAATTTGAACTATCAGGGACTAATTTGTAACTTCGCTAAAGTATAGAGGCTTTTTAGTAATTTAATTTAATGGTTAGGACTATTTTGAAAAAAAAAAAAAAAAAAAAAAAAAAAAAAAAAAAAAAAAAAAAAAAAGTTACCAAGTGAGGGTGGTAAGGGGTTGTTTGTGGATAAATGGAATCACTTTTTGGGGATTGGGACCTATTTTGAATGAAGAGTTTAACAGGGAGGGTAGTTTGTTCATCTTATAACTAAAATGACTTAGGGCTTAAATGTTATCCGTGTTCAAGATTTAATCGGGTAAAGGAACGAACGAAGGCACGAACGAATGGAGGGGAAAAGACGAACAAAGCAGCGACTGGTGGGTGATCGATCCATCGTAAGGAGGAGGAATTCCACTCTCCGGCGACTCGCTTAGGAGTTTCTATCCGTCGGCGGCAGCAAGGAGGTCCGATGGCAAAGCAATGACCGAAGGTGGCGAGAGGGGAAACGTGAAGCGACTGCGAAACCTGATGGCGGTCGTCATCTCGCGAAGGAGATGGAGAAATCGGCGACGAGGGGTTTGTCTTCGGGGTTTGACGAAACCGAAGGGATAGAGGAAATGGCGGAGTGTTGCGAGGGTCGATGAGGTGAGCGATTCAAGGGTTCGGTGGGAGGAACTGAAGAGAGGAGAAGAGGAGTGCGAGGGTGGGGCTGTTATTTTGATTGGTAGCAGGTAAGCGAATGGGGGCTGCTACTGCAGCCTCGCATGTTCTTCTTCTTCTTTTTTTTTCATTGATTGTTCTTGACAGAAATTGATATAGGGAATGGATGTTTATGTGTTGATGTTTGATAAAGAATCGATGGATATTTGGGTTGAGGCTTGGTCATCGAAACAGGGACAAAGGTGGATTATGATGTTCTTAGTCCATTGGTAGCAGTTCAATGAAAGAAGAAGGTAGCAATAGAAGCGATTCTCAGGGTGTTTTGGGTTGGGGTTCGATTGACAAGAAACGAAAAAGATAATCAGTTGAGGAAAAAGGGTGTTTGGCTGTTTGTTGTCCACCGAAAGGGTAGAAGAAGAACAGGATTTTTTTTTTTTTTTTTTTATTTTTTTTTTATATATTTTATGTTTGATTGTTTCAGTTGACAGGGAAGGAAAGTGGATTAAGAAAAAGAAAGTGTTGTTGTTTTTCTTGATTCTTCACGATCTGAAGATGATAGAGTGTGTTTGAGTGTTAGATTATTTATTTATTTATTTATCTTTGTACAATTTTTGAGATTGGTTTTGTATAGGTTGAAGTTTAGAAGCAACAATAATTGAATGGGTGTCATCCTTGTTTGGCTGTCAATTTAAGAGTAAAGAGTATATATTTCATATTTCTATTTTGTATAATGTATTTGTTTTTATATCTATCCTTACTAATCCTTACTAATAAAAGAGTATTCCTAACCTCCACTTGTCAATTCTTTAGTCCTGGTTGTCATCAAAATCTAGGCATTCCTAGGTTTTTCCTTTTTCTAAATTTGACTTTCACTATTGATTACCATATCAAATGAGTTGGTTAAAGAAACATCCATATAACTAAATAGATAACCTATAATAATTATATAATATAATAATTATATAATAATTATCTATTTTAACTTTTTAACAATGATTATTATTTGTTATTTCTAAATAACTATTTTTATAAATTTTTATTTTAAACTAGTAACGAGGCCGCGACTACGTTGCTTTTGGGGTATTACGGGAAAAATCAGCAAACTTTAAAAAATTTATGCTGAAATTGTAAATCACCACAAATAAGGGATAAAATCGATAACCCCTAAAATTAGATGTCAAAGTGTACAATCAAAACAATGAACACTGCTGGAGAAAATTCAAAAATTTTGTGTCAATAATGTTAAAGTTGCCAAAGTTGGGAAAATATGGTGACAAAATTCAAAAGAAAGTTTTTTTTCTTTCTTTTTTATGTCAAAATGTAAAAGTTTTTAGTACAATGACGAATAGTGTCAAATTCATAAAAGATATGTTGCAAAAACATCAAAAATGTAAAATTTTTTACTGTAAGAACTAAAAGTGTCAAACTCACTAAATATTTGTGTCAAAACCAAAAAGAGAAAAATTCAATCAAAACGCAAAAATATAAAAGTTTTGAGTTTAAGGGCAAAAAGTGTTAAATACACCAAGGATTTGAGGTAAAAACTTAAAGCCCAAAAATAAATACTATTTCTAACTTTCATTTCTTTAATATATACAAGAGAAGATTCCTGCGGGGGTTGGAAGACATTCAATTATAAATGTTTATTAGCAAAAACCAATTTAATCAAACAGCTAGCATAAAAATGACACAAATTACTAAACTTATGTTCATAAACTTAAAAAAAAAAAAAAAAACTTAAGTCCATAATTCCCCAAATTTATAGATGAAAACATTCGGTTTTGGCATAATATAAAGCTGCAGCAAGTAAAAAAAAGAGAAGTAGGAACCATAAGATTGACCATGTCTATATCGCTGTTCACCATTTACATTCCCCTGCTCAACTTCATTCTCATTCTGCTGCTAATTCCCATTGTTTTGTCTACCACCATTCCTGTTCTAGCTTCCATTATTGTACCGCTGTCCATTTAATTTCCCATTCCAGCCTCAATTTTTGTACTGCAAGTGGAACAATTTTTTATTGTATCAGTAGCCAAGTATAGTTTACCCTTGAAATTGAAACTCATATGAAGTCGATACAAATGGTTAAATGAATTATTCAATTCAAATCCATGGTACTTGATTACCAGGGAAAATTACTTAGAAACATAAATAAATAGTGAAAAAAGATAGTATGTTTGATGAATTGCAAAATATCATATATATTCAAACTTATCTAGACTTGCTAAAGCTCATAGAGTTAAAATATGATACTGATCAACAGGCTTCCAGAAGTTTGCTCCAGCATAAACTGCCTCTAACCACAACTCCTCTTCAATTCCCAGCAGCTGTAGTATATATATATATATATATATATATATATATATATATATATATATATTATATATATATATATATATATTCATTCTGTTTTAGCAAGAAATGAAATATGGTAATTTACGTACACATTGAATTGGAAAATATATTATATACATTCATATACAAAAACCTGTCTGATTGTATTTAGTAAGAAGCTCTAACATGCAAGTTGCTTCAGTCTTCATTTGCCCTTAAAGAGTAGTTACGTTTATTGTATGATCAGTATTTCAAGAATAAAAAGTTAAAAACTATAATTATGTTTTCACCATACCCACTCAAAACACTTTCTATTATCATATAATCAAATCTTGTTTCCCTTCTCTAATTTTCAGTAAAAAATTGAAGATTTATCAATTCAGAAGTTGAAAACTTAGGGTACGTTTCTATTTAGTTAGGACACAAATTGACTAACCTCGGTGACATCAGAATGGAGTCATGCCAAGACCAGGATCTCATATTAGCATGTATGATAAATAATAATAAGCAGCATGATGTAGATAGAGATAGGCGTATGGTACGTAAATTACCATCAAATTTTTTTTTTGAGGAGTGAGGAGAGCTGACATCGGTCTCATCTTCTTCAACAGTCGAAGGACTGAGAACTGTTTCTGAAGAGGAGGTTGACACCAACGACAACAAAAAAAGGTTAGGAATGAGATTAGAAGAGAGGGTAAAGAATCAAGATTCACTATGTTCTAACTTACATCTGATGACCAGAAGAATTTGGGAGTGGTTGTCTGAATTGGAATTCGATAACTTCGAAACCTTACGATCGCGTCTTCAAATCGTTATTGGGGTTTAGGGCAACAATGAAGACCGATTTATCAAACTTTGGATGTGGTAACGGTGGGTTGTCGTCATCTTCTCCATGGTGGTAAATGAGACCTAATCAAGTCAGAGACTCCTCCAATCTCGAAGTCGATCCTTCTCTCTGGCGACGATGGATGCGAGAATGGTGTTGGGCTTCGATTTTTCTGTTAAATAGCTCCGATTGGAAAAAGAACGGTGTGAGACACCGATTGTGGGTTGGTCTGCAATGTTTTGAAAACCGGCGGAGACCGAACCCGTCTTACCGGTTCGATGGTTCGGATGGTCCAACCAGCCAGATCGGTCTCAAAAACCCGGGAAAACCGGATGATATCATAATTATATTTAATTATATAAAAAATATAAAAAATAAAAAAAAAAAAATTTTTTTTTTAAATTTCCGGTTTTGACCGGTTTTGCCGGTTCAACCGGACCGGTTTGTACCGGTTCAACCGGTTTTTACTAGTTTTCACCGGTTCAAATGAATACCGGTTTTTTGGCATTTAAGAACCGGATCCGGGACCGGTTCCCGGTCGAACCGGCCGGTCCGGTCCGATTTTCAAAACATGGTTGGTCTGGATGAGAAGAATGAATGGAGTTGAAGTAGAAAAAACGGAACAATCCGGAAGAGATATAATTATATTTTATAACAAAATATTAACTAATATGTTTTTTTTAACTTATTTACGTATGCTTTACTTTTCGTTTTAACACTAATAACTATTTTTATTAACTTTTATTTTAAATATAATTTTATAACAAAATATTAACTAACATATCGTTGTTTAAACTTATGTACATATTCTTTACTTTTTGTTTTTTATACTAAAACAATAATAAATACTATTAATAAATATATTTGTAAAGTTTGTTCTAATTAATTAATTTATACTATACATTAGGGTTTAATATTTTTATTAAATTTATAATATAATTATTATATAACTATATAATTATTATTTGTTATTTCCAAATAATCATTTTTATTAACCTTCTATTTTAAATGACATTATCTAATAATTAAAAATAAATAAATACATAAACACAAAAATGTGAGACCAACTTTAATCATTCATTAATCAACTAATTTAATAATTCTTCAAATACAAGACATAAATAATATTCTTTAACAATCCTCTATAATTATAAAATCATGATTATAAGGTTTCAGTTGTCTATAAATTTGCAGACGTGACATAAACATCGTTTCTCATCCAGCTGCACACGGGGCTCTGTGACGGATCCATAAAGCCGAAATGATAGGCATCAAACAATCTTCTTTTAATTGTACCATAACATAACGAGGACCACATATAAGTGAAATTGTAATAAACCGATGGTCCAAAAATTCTTCTGGGCCTTTCCAAATAGGAAAGAAAGTTAAGGAACCATGATTGGTTAAGAAAGTAAGGACCACACCAAACTTGTTAGTAATCAGAATATCTGTTTCAGGCATAAGCATCCAATGTTCTGCTAGTGCACTCGGTCTTAAGAAATACAATGAATTCCACAATTCATGGATTCCATCTGTGAAAACCGTAGCATATACATCGAATGACTATGTAACTCATATACTAGTTGTTTTCGAACGTAGAGCCATTGATCTTCGCCATACCCAAGACAAGCAGATATTGCTCGAAATCTGCAATGTCCATCACCCTCAACATTTTGTATATGTGATACGTATGGATGAAACACGAGTGGAATGTCATCCATTAATGGATGAATGTAGCATGACTCAGGCGCTTGGTTCTAATCCATAAATACATTTAAGTCTGGAATTGCTTCATTCATGTCTGGAACCGTGGTTACATATGAACTATGTCTTGTTGGTTCCTTGTTCATCCATGTTGAATTCAATCCATCATATTTTGATGTGGTTGAATAGCTACATCTTATAGGAGCTTGATTTGTAGAATCAGCTCGTTTTGTTGTTGTTTCTTCAAGTTTGGTCGTCCACAAGTATTTTTTTGAATTGTGGGTTCCTTAATGCGTGTTTTAATTGGTAGGAAAATATCTCTTAGCTTTCTTATCATACTTTTTTTCCTGCTTTTGACTGTTGATAGAAGTCTTCTTTAATCATTTCTAAATCATCCTCACAACGAATATCTTCATTAGCTACAGAAATTGACTCTGATATATCAAGCTTTGTCCAGAATATATCTATCGATTCTAATGGAATATACTCACCTGTATTGAAATACCATTAGTATATAAAAATTCAATATATTAGTTAAATTAAAAAAAAAATACTTGTTGAATATACTCACCCGAGTTTAAGTAAACTAATAACATGCAAACACATGGTAAGCCACAACTATGTTGTAGTTTACAACCACAGTTTAACGAGTCAATTTGATTTTCACTCAAGAAGTTCCCCAACTATTTTATCGAGATCTTCATGTAAAAATGAACCCCACAATAATCTAAAACATGGCAAGTCGTGTTCCCGTTTACGGACAATTCTACTCTTTTCAAGACTATCTTGTATCGATGGAAGTTGAGACCTCACTAATTGATCAAGACAACCAATAAATTTATCAAGAGAAGAATTTGTGTCATCTAAGTACTTCTTTAGATTTGAATGTGCGCTCTCAACTCTATTTGTAGTTCGTTGTCCAAAGTTGAGATGTTGATCGATCCAGACTAAGATAAACATTTCCTTATATTTGTTTAACCAAACTTCATCCAGATAATTTAAAACATTTGTAATTATATAAATGTTATTATCTATAAAAATAATCTAAAATCATAAATAACAAGTTAAAAAATAATAAGATTTGTACCTTGATATTTTCTCAACATCGATTGGAGTGTTTTGTAGTTATCATTGTACACTATCCATGTTGGAGAGTCAACAAGTACAGTCCACATTATATGAAAGGGTTTCCACTCATCGTCTATCTTGAATCTTCTCCTCCAACGCTTTCTAATATTTTCAGTAATGTGCCATCTACAAAGTAACCGAGTGGCACCGGGGAAAACTTGTTGACATGCGTTCATCAGTGCCAATTCCCTGTCTGTGGCTATAATGTGTGGGTGCATGCACTTGTCTAATGTGGATTTTAGACACGTTAACACCCAATTATAGTTCTCCTCCTTTTCATTAACGATAAATGCAAAAGCTATGCTAAATGTCTTGTTGGTTGAAGTTGGCCAACAATCTGAACAAAAGGCATACCATATTTGTTGGTCTTGTATGTTGCATCTATTATCAAAACGTGTGGAAATGCCTTCCATATATTCAACGACCGTGGATGAATGAAGCTTGAGACGCTCATTGTATATGGTTTTTAGTGTAGAAAACATTATTCTCGCCGCGCTTCTTTATTATTGAGAGTATGTTATGTGGTGTAACATTCATATTTGTCAAGTCACCCACCAATTGTTTATCGTGTTCTTTCAACCGCCTAGCAAAAGCATGTTCCTCCATATATTGTGCAGGTGGATGATTATGTTGATCATGTATCACCCTGAGGGTCCAACCGTCATATTGTTTGATGTACAAACCTACCAATTGAAAGTTATAATTGATTTTTTTGGTTCCAAAATTTTTAATTGTTGCTTTACTTTTGTATTCATGACCAATATCACAAATAAGTGTGATATAAGACACCACACCATTTTTTGTCTTTGATTTTCTCATCACGATGATATAACCAAGAGAAAATACAATGTTTCGCACCCATTCCATCAACTCATCACGAGACGTAAACACCTATTTAAAAAAAAATTGTTAAAAAATTGTAACGCAATGATAAAAAAATGTTATTATGATAAATATTATACCCTAGTGGTAGAAAACGGCGATGTCGACGTAGTGTTCATGCCTTCATTTAAATTATTTCCATTGGGATTCGATATTATTTATTAAACACTACAAAAAAAAGATTATAAAAACTAAAATTATGTATAAAGAATAATTTATATATATATATTATAAAGTTTTAGTATAGAAAACGTGTTTACTGCTACTTTACTCCAACCCATTTTGTTAAAAAAAATATGTTAGCCCATGTTAGCCCAATTTTAAAACCCATACCAATCTTCATATATAACTAAAAAAACCTAATCCTTTCATTATCCAATCAAGTCTGCCATCGCTTCCAAAAATCGATCGTCTTTTTTCTCCCAACTATCACTCTCGTCGCTGGAAATCTCCACTCCTTCAATCTCATCGTCGCCACTCTCATCGTCGGATTCAACCTCTGACTCAATGGACCTCTGCTGCTCATCACACTTATGATCTCGTCGACCACAACCGCCGTCTCTCTCCCTCGATGATTGTAGCCTTGACGATGCCCAAAGACAAGAAAAAAAATGACGAGGAATCTGGTATTCGACCTTGGTGGAACAACATTTTAACAATGACAATGGCTTTTTTAAGGTTACTTCAAAAAATCGATATTGTAGGAGTTACATGTTAGCTACAAAATGGTGATGTACAACTTAGATTAGAGATTTTACCTGAAAGTTGGCTTGATTAGTATTAATCTGAATTAAGATTTTATATAAGATTTTATATAAAAGAATAGAAGTCGTTAATTCATTCTAGTTAGTGGTTGTAACAAGTTTCAATGTAACTACTGTTAATGCTGTTAAAAATTAATTACAGTTTAAGTTACCAAAAAGCTAAAACCTATAAAAAGTATAAAATACACAAATATCAAAGTTTGACTTTTGAATTAGGCTGTCCAAAAGGGTGTCTTATTAGCAGTACCCTGTTAATATATCTTTTCGGTTGACTTATGACTTAAATGACTCGGGCTCTTGGTTCAAATCCATATAATATATCTTTTCGGTTGTTACTATTCCTGATTTATCATGACTACATAATCACCAGCAAATGCATCTAGTGGCTTAGGCTCGTATGCGGGGCGTACAAGCTTTGACGCGGGGCGTACGAGGTTGAGGTCTAAGACCCTAATATTCGGACTTTTACCATATTTAAACCATCGTTTAATCTTTGGATCTTATTTCTATCAGCTTCCTTTGCCTCTCATCATCCCTATAAACCCTAGTAGCCATTGGAGGTGAGTTTGAGCTTGGAGTGTCATAAGGAAGCCATTTTTGGGCGTGTATGCAAGGAGAAGAGCTTGTAATATAATTCTTGATCGTGGTGAAGCTTCTAGATCCAACATTTCCTTCATCTTAGGGAGCTTCTTGAGGTATAAAGTTCATACCTTGATCAACCATTGTTTAGATCTCCTTTTTGGACTTGTTTGGTCTCTTTGGTCCCCTTTTTGAAGGTCTTGATGTGTCAAGACCATTTGTGATGCCAAGGCTGTAGATCTAGTCGTTTAGTGGCCTCTTCTAGCTTAAAGGTGCAAACTTTATGGTGTTTGTGACCTCCATGCAAGCATTAAGACATTTATTAAGTTCTTTTGGGCTTTTAGGGCTTCATTAAGCCATGCATGCATGTAAAGTTGGCAACTTTACGTGATTATCCACCTCAAAAAGGTCAAATATGAGTATTGGAGCAAGTGTCTGAACCAAATAAGAGCTTAATGGGATATTTGGCAAATAAGAGGAGTACGTTGGGCGTATAAGCATGTACGCACAACGTACAGGCCCTTAATCATGTACGCTTATCATACAAGCTGAGTACGCTCCAAGTACTCAGTAGAAGGTTTCAGTATTTTGGGCCTTCGGTGTGGGCTTCGCATGTGGACTTAGGAGTTTAGGGTTATATCGTGGGTTGTAGCCTAGTTATATTAGGTGGGTGAATTTATAATGTGGACATTTAGGGTCATAAGTTGGGCCGTTTGGGCCTTAGAACTGTTAGTGTAAATGGACCAAGCTTGGTTGGGCCCATTATGAGGAATCTTCTTTTAGGCCTTTGGGCCTTGTTGCCTATTATAGTTTTGGACTTTGATGCTAGGTCCATTGATGAAGAAAAGACTTTTGGGCCATAACAAAGGGTCTTGGACTTAGGATTTTGGGCCCTTTGCATACAAAAATTAATGGGTTAGTTTGGGCACCTAAACGAGTTTGGAGCCCGAGGACAAACTAGAGCTTTTCTGACTTTGATGCATGAATACGATGTTTAGGGATAGGTTTTGTGTCAATCTTGAAATGTAGAACTGGTGTTTGTGAACTGTTGGAGTGTTACGAGGTTTTGGAGGATTGTGAGGTTTTGGAGAATTACGGGGTTGGACTTGATATGGCCCTTTATGATGATAAAATCCAAAGGTAAGATTTTTCTCATTTAGCCAGACACCGTACCTGGTCAGCGGTCCAGAGTGTGTGGTGTGAGGCTTGTGACCAGTCCGAGAGTGAAACTTGATTGAGGTGCCCTTGGGAATTGAAAATTCTTGGGCATTTGATTTCCTCCTAGGTTTTGTCCTTCTAACAAACTGATGTGACCTAAAAGGTGTAGGAGTCGGCAAAATTCCTTTCCATTTTGGATCGTCCAATGAATAGTTTTGAAAACGATATCTTTGAAAAGATTTAACTTTCTTTTGGGATTTGTCAGAAGAGATAGAAAAAGTTTTTTGTACTATACAACCCATTTGTCTAATATTTTAACTGCAGTGCCTTTTGAAAAACGGTTGGAGGAAACAGATTTTTCAAGACTTTTTTGTTTTGAAACTTTGGTTTGTTTGAGGGTTTTGTTTTTGAAATTATTTTCATGCTTTTTACCATGGGATGTAACTTCCTCTTTGAAAGCCAGTTTTGCTTGAGATTTTGGAGAACCATGGTCAGAAGTGTTCAACTGCGGTTTCTTGGAAAGCTTTGTTTGTTTTTGAAAAGGTGGACTTGAGTCATCTGAACTAGAAGACTCAGGACTCTGAGAGCATTGACCGTATTCAAAATTTTCTATGGGTAACTCATGGAGAATGGGTTGAATGGTCATGGTGCTCTTGACTGCGGTCTGCGGTAAGGAAGACTAGACTACCACATAGTAAGTCAAAGAACGTCCCTTAGAGGGACACTTTATGGAAGGTACTTGAGAAAACTGTGGTCTAAGACTGCAGTGAGTGGGACGGCGGTCAGAGGATAAAAGTGTACAGTTTACAGTTTCATCAGGTCCTTCCATAAGAATTTCATCATCAACAATTGTCAAAGCCTGAGAATTAGGATAAATTGTGCGAGTGATGGGTACTTGATCACATGGATGATCAGAGGTTTCAGGAAGAATTTCATCGATGACACAATTATTATTTAGATTACGAATTCTACTGAAGTGGGCTCTAATGTCTTTTGGGGGAATGTTTTCTCATTGACTGGGAAATGAAACTCTCGATCAGGAGGGAGATAGGGACGGTCTTTGTTAAATCGAGGTGATGAATCCACTGCGGTGGAATACCCATTGGACCAACCCTAATTATATGTATTATCTACGGTTCCATTATTCACAAGATTTTCAATGGCTTCACTTGAATTAAACAATTTTTTGATTAACAAATTCAAACGTACATTTTCTTTTTGGCCTAGATCCCTTTGATTCGAAGCTATTCCTAACTGAATTTCACATAAAATTTGGGCATCCTTTTCTGACACCAAGTCTCTTTCTAACGTGGAAACTTATAGTCTCTTGTCTTCTAGTCGTCCTCTTACATGAAACATTTCTTAGGATGCTATGTTCTTCTCATCTAAGGCCTAGTTATAGTCTGAAAGGATGGTAACACAAGTGTCATTAAGGTTGTTTAAGAAGGGTTGACAATCATGCATGACATAATTATTAGTTTGGATCATGAGTTTTACTTGTTCAACAATGCTTAGAGTTCCATCTTTTACCACGAAGCAGTAGTTTTTCTCTAGCTTTTTTGATCCATCCTCATCAGTAGTTGCCATCACAAAAATTTTTCCCTTGCCCTTGATGTTGTTGAAGTCTTCATCTTCATCCCCTGACGACCAAACTTGATGATCCCTCTTCACTTGGGCCACATATGCCCTTTCCTTTTCTTTTTCATCCATCTCCTGTGCCATTCTGAGATAGAATTCTTTATCCTTCACCACATTGGCTTTACATACTTTAGAAAAGCGGTTTCTTTTGTTGCATTTGTGACAAATGACAATATCATCTTTAACTTTGATTGAGGTATCAGAGTTAGTTAGCTTGACAGGTTGTGGGGCCTCTTTGGATTGATGAGTGTTCAGAGGTTGGGGAGACTGGTGAGGTTTTTAGGATATCGAGAATGATTGTTTGGTGGATTGAAGTTTCAGTTGAAGGGAGGTTTGGTGAACTTCTGATTTTTGCAAAAGGAGGTTGGTGGTAACTTGTTGAATTGTTAGCTAACAAGAACACTTGCATTTTGGAATTCTTCTTCAACATCATATTCTGTATCGGCTTCGTATGACTGTCG